CAGTGCTGGCGACGAAGGATGGCGAAAGGGGGATCGAAGGTCGCTGGTCCTGAGGGAAGGAGGCGGTGAAGGATGCGGTCGGTCGGCGATTTGGTCGGGGATGGTGAAGATGGCGACGGATCGTCGCTGGTGATGGCGGTGGTTGCGCTGGTGATCAGAACGAAGGATGGGGGTGGTGGAGATTTGGGTTAGGTCGAAGAAGAGGGGTGGGGTTTTTGAGAGATTTTCCATTTTTTTTTAACCCAGCGAACCACAGGTGTGGTGGATGGGTGTGGTAGACTCTGGAAAAAAAAATTCAGTGAACCAGGGGTGTGGCAGACCGTGGGTGTGGTGTATGGGTGTGGTAGAGTCTGGATTCTTTTCTTCCTGTAGACCATGGGTGTGGCAGATGGGTGTGGTAGAGTCTGCCATCCCATTTGAACTCCTTTTTCTGTAGTTTTTTTTTTCCCTTCTCCTAACCTGCAAGATTGAAAATGTTATAAGTTAAATTTATGCCGATCCAATTGCCTAAATAAAATAAAATAAAATAAAGTAAAATAAGATAAATAAAATGGATGAAAACTTGGGTTGCCTCCCAAGAAGCGCTCGTTTATGGTCTTGAGCTCGACCCCTTTTTGCGCTTAATTATCCGACGAAGGGGGATCGGAAAGGGTATAAGTGACCCCTTTCTCGTGTTGTTCCCCTACAATGTAGTGCTTCAATCGTTGCCCATTCACCTTGAAAGATCCCGTTTTTTCACTCCAGACTTCAACAACTCCACTAGAAAAAACCTCGCGGATTTGAAACGGTCCGGACCACCTAGACTTGAGCTTGCCCGGAAAAAGCTTCAAACGAGAGTTGAAAAGTAATACCATATCTCCTTGATTAAACTCTCATCGAAGGATATTCTTATCGTGCCATCGTTTAGTATTTTCTTTATAAATGCGAGCATTCTCATAGGAATCTAATCGTAGCTCATCTAGCTCATGAAGTTGAAGCTTTCTTTTCTCACCTGCGGTCTTCATATCGAAATTGAGCAGTTTGATAGCCCAATACGCCTTATGCTCTAACTCAACTGGGAGATGACACAATTTGCCATATACCAATTTGAATGGTGTCATACCTATGGGCGTTTTGTATGCAGTTCGATAGGCCCATAAGGCATCTGTGAGTTTCATAGACCAATCCTTTCTTGAACGATTAACTGTTTTCTCCAAAATACTCTTAATTTCACGATTCGAAACTTCCACTTGACCACTAGTTTGAGGATGATATGGCGTGGCAACTTTAAAAGTGACCCCATATTGTCTTAAAAGACCTTCGAATTTTCTTTCTATGAAGTGTGAACCTCCATCACTGATTACCGTCCGTGGCACCCTAAATCTTGGAAAAATAACGTTCTTGAATAGTTTCACAAAAACTTTAGCATCGTTGGTGGGGGATGCTATCACTTCTACCCATTTGGATACGTAGTCCACCGCCACTAAGATGAACTTGTTGTTACACGATGACGGGAACGGTCCCATGAAATCTATCCCCCACACATCAAAGACCTCAATTTCCAAGATGGAGTGTAAAGGCATCTCATGTCACTTCGAAATATTCCCAGTCCTCTGACAACTATCACAAGATATCACAAACTGCCTTGCATCCCGGAAAAGACTCAACCAATAGAAACCTGATTGTAAAACTTTTGCAGCTGTCTTTGAAGTGCTTGCATGTCCCCCGTAGGAAGATGAGTGGCAATGATGGAGAATACTGGCAACCTCATCTTCAGGAATACACCTTCTGAACATCCCATCAACACACCGTTTGTATAGAAACGGTTCATCCCAAAAATAATACTTCAAGTCAGCAAAGAATTTCTTCTTCTGTTGATAGCTCAGATCCGGAGGTAAGACTCCACACACTATGTAGTTGACAAAGTCTGCATACCATGGTGCATACAATCTTTCTATGGCTAACAATTGATCATCTGGGAAAGATTCGTCGATCGGTAGTTCATCCTCCTCCCTATCATGTGATTCTGGTTTCATCCTCGACAAATGGTCTGCCACCAAATTTTCTGTCCCTTTCTTATCCTTTATCTCTAGGTCAAATTCTTGCAAAAGTAGTATCCATCGAATCAACCTAGGCTTGGCATCTTGCTTGCTCAAAAGATATTTGATGGCGGAACGATCGGTATAAACGATGACTTTGGAACCTACTAAGTAAGACCTGAACTTGTCAAAGGCGAAAACAACTGCTAATAGCTCCTTTTCAGTGGTAGCGTAGTTAACTTGGGCTTCATCAAGAGTGCGACTAGCATAATAAATTGCATGAACTATCTTGTTCTTCCTTTGGCCCAACACAGCACCAACCGTATAATCACTTGCATCAGTCATGACTTCAAATGGGAGATTCCAGTCCGACGGTTGCATAATAGAAGCTGTTATCAATGCTTCTTTCAACCTACAAAAAGCATCAAGACATTCATCAGTGAAATCAAAGGTAGCATCTTTAAGAAGAAGGTTAGTTAAGGGTTTTGAAATTTTTGAGAAATCTTTGATGAAACGCCGATAGAAACCGGCATGTCCCAAGAAACTTCTTACTCCCCTAACTGACGTCGGTGGAGGCAATTTTTCAATGACTTCCACTTTTGATCGATCAACGTCAATTCCGCGCTCAGACACCTTGTGCCCTAAAACTATTCCATCTCTTACCATAAAGTGGAATTTCTCCCAGTTTAGGACTAAATTAACTTCCTCGCAATGCTGCAAAACTCGAGACAAGTTAGATAAACAACCATCAAAAGTAGTTCCATACACGGAGAAGTCATCCATAAACACGTCCATAATATCCTCTATAAAATCAGAGAAAATGGCCATCATACATCGTTGAAAAGTGGCGGGGGCATTGCAAAGACCAAAAGGCATGCGCCTATAAGCAAAGGTCTCATAGGGACAGGTAAAAGTGGTCTTTTCCTGGTCACTAGGATGGATAGGAATTTGGAAAAATCCTAAATAGCCATCTAAATAACAAAGATATGAATGCCTAGCCAACCTTTCCAACATCTGGTCTATAAAGGGAAGTGGAAAATGATCTTTTCGGGTTGCCTTGTTCAATTTCCTATAATCAATACACATCCTCCAACCCGTAACCGTCCTAGTAGGGATAAGTTCATTATTTGCATTCTTAACTACGGTCACACCTCCCTTTTTAGGAACCACATGAACCGGGCTAACCCATTCACTATCAGAAATAGGATAGATTACCCCAGAATCTAGTTGCTTAAGCACTTCCTTTTTAACCACTTCTTTCATGTTAGGATTTAATCTACGTTGGTGTTCTATAGAGGGTTTATGATCATCTTCCAAGAGAATTCTATGCATGCAAATTGATGGATTAATTCCCTTAATGTCGTTCATGGTGTATCCTATGACCTTGCGATGCATCCTAAGTGTTCTAAGCAACTTATCAGTTTCATTTTCATTCAGACATGCATTCACAATCACAGGATAAGTAAAATCAGGGCCAAGAAATTCATACCTTAAAGAGGAAGGGAGGGGTTTTAATTCTACCTTTGGTGCATTATCCTCTTCACAAATAGAACCTTTTGGCTCTAGCATCAATCTTTCAAGCTTTGCATTTCGAAGTGGAGCAGTTGATGTTGATTCTAAAGATTGAGCATACGCGGCTACCTCGGGGTCTTCATCATTTATTGAACCATCACTTACCAAACATTTCTCAAGTGGATCAGCTGAGTTATTGTTTGCAATTTGCTCATGTGTACACTTGTCAATGACGTCGACCCTGTAACAAATTTTATCAGTTAGAGGGAGTTTCATAGTATTACTTAAATCAAATTCTACCGTCTCCCCTCCAATATTTAAAGAAAGCCTTTCATTTTTAACATCAATTATAGCACCTGCATTGGCATCAAACTTACGCTTGCACCTAAATCACACAAAGCACGGTTAATAGAGACATTACCAATAACACAAGGAATAGAAAATGAACCTGGATCCTTAAGCTTAGGAGGCAGCTTATTCTGGATGATAGCACTACACTCCTCAGTAAGGGCCACAGTCTCGTATTCTTCCAACTTCCTTTTATTGGATAGGATCTCTTTCAAGAACTTAGCATATGAAGGCATTTGAGAGATAGCTTCAGTGAACGGGATATTGATGTGCAATTTTTTTAAAATCTCCAAGAATTTTCCGAACTGCTTTTCTAACTTAGCCTTAGCTAACCTTTGGGGAAATGGTAGAGGAGGCTTGTAAGGAGCGGGGGCCACATATTTTTCAACTTTTTCTTCTTCTTGCGTTTGGGTCTCATTATCCACATCTATCACATTTTCATTTTTTTCTTCATGATGACCATCCACCCCATCATTTTCCTTCATCTTGGGTCCCTCATATTGTTTTCCACTTCTAAGAGTTATAGCATTCACATGACTCCTGGGATTTGTCTCGGGTTGTCCAGGTAGCATGCCTGAAGGCCTAGAGGAAGAGCTAACATTTTGTGCCAATTGGGTGATTTGTGTCTCTAACATCTTGTTATGCGTAGCTAGGGAATCCATCTTAGAGGCCAATTGTTTCACCACCTCATTCGTGGTTTGTTGTTGCTGCTTAAACTCTTCATTCAATTTTGATTGAGTCGTCACAAACTTCTCCATCATATTTTCCAAATTTGACTTTTGAGAAGGGAAATTGGATTGAGGAGCACGAAAACCAGGTGGACCAAAATTAGATGCAGGCATGGGATTTCCAGGTGGGTTTCTATAAGAAAAATTAGGATGATTCCTCCACCCCGGATTATAAGTATTGGAGAATGGGTCTCCCTTCTGATTAAAGTTATTAACATAGTTAACTTGCTCATTACCAGAAGTATCAATGGATGGGGGGTTTCCTAATTGACATTGAAGTGCAGAATGACCCACATAGCCACATATCTCACATGAAATTGAAGTAGACGCCACAGAATTAATACTCAAACCTTCAACTTTCTTAAATAAAGCATCAACTTTAGAGGATATATGGTCTAAAGCATCTATTTCATACTTGCCTCCTTTTGATGTCTGAGGAGCACGCTCGTTCGCCCATTGATAGTGATTCTGAGCCATGTCTTCAATGAGAGTGTATGCCTCGTCTATTGTTTTGTTCATCAAAGCTCCTCCTGCAGTAGCATCAACAGTCATCCGTGTGTTGTAAGTGAGCCCGTTGTAGAAGGTGTGAACAATTAACCACTTCTCCAGTCCATGGTGAGGGCACATCCTCAATAATTCCTTGTAGCGTTCCCAAGCTTCATAAAGTGACTCTCCTTCCTTCTGTACAAAGCTTGTGATCTGGTTCCTCATCTGTGCTGTTTTACTTGGAGGAAAATACTTTGCAAGAAATACTCTGGACAATTGATCCCAAGTGGTGATGGACCCAGCTGGCAATGAGTGCAACCAAGCCCTAGCCTTGTCCCTTAGAGAGAACGGAAATAATCTGAGTCGAATAGCATCATTGGTCACTCCATTAAGTTTCAAAGTGTCACAATACTCCAAGAAAATCGACAGGTGGAGGTTCGGGTCTTCAGTAGCACCTCCTCCAAACTGATTCTGTTGAACCATTGAGAGCAGTGATGGTTTCAGCTCAAAGTTATTAGCTTCAACATTGGGCCTTGTAATGCTTGACTGTGTGCCTTGAGCATTTGGGGCTGCGAAATCCTTAAGAAGCTGATTTTGATCTCCCATCGTAGCTTATTCTGTGTTCCTTTGCTCCCTTATAGACCTTCTTATGTTTGCAAGAGCCATCGTTAGTTCAGGATTGTTTTCGTCGTGTAATTCTGTTTGATGCCCTTGCATAAAAGAAAGTGAGAAGCAAAGAGAAAAAAAAATCTAGTCTAGCTTAATAACGTAAGCACTCAATATTAACACCGTAGTCCCCGGCAACGGCGCTAAAAACTTGATAGGGCAAATCCGCAAGCGCACAGACTCATTGTAGCTATCAAGGTCGATCCCACAGGGACTAGGGTTAATTACCAAATTTTACGTTATTAGACTAGCTAAACTAATGAGTAAATTAGAAGAGATTTAATAAAAAAAATAAAATAAACAACTAATCGGATGGAATTCAATATAATGAAGGACTAGGATTGGGTTATCACCACAACTTAGGTGTTCAATGATGAATTATTTCAATTCTTGGTGTTGGTTTAATCTAGAAAGGGTGAATTAGCCTAAATTAATCTAAAGCCTCTTTCAAGGTCTAAAGATCGTGCCTAATCAATCTCAATTAACCTACTTTCGTGGAATCAAGATTAAATTAAACCCATTAAGCTTTATGCTAATCCAAATCAAATCCCCAAGGAATCTAGCCTACTTTCGTGGTTCGAGCTCCATGCTTAATTTCTAGAGATCCGGTATTAATCTTCACCTTTCGGTCCTTCAATTAATTACCTATGATTGCTAATACGGTGATCAAGCGAATCAACAAAATTAAAACACTAGAAATTAAGTTCAAAGATTTAAACTTTCACCAAGAACCTATATCAATTCATCATCAATCACCAAAAAGTTGGGTTCTTTCCCAACCCAAGACAAGAAATCTACTCACACATGATTGGAATAAGAGAATACATCCAATAATTATGCAAATCAATCATAAGAAGAAATAAATCAAAGAGAGGAAAGAATTAACCCTTCTTTCAATTGAGATCTTCAAAATCAAAACTTGCAATCCAATCTTGCACAAGAAATTAGTGTCTTTCTTCAATACTTGAACTCCAAAATAATTGCTAATTGATGGCTAAGAGAACATAACAAAAGATATCCAAAACCCTAAGTCAAAACATCTATTTATATGTCCCTAAAAATCTGGAAAATAACTAATTCCCGCGCCACCGGTGTGGTCTGCACCACACCAGGGTGTGGTAGGGGCTGTTTTGCTGATTTTGTGCTTGTTTCTTTAGTTTTTAGTATTTTGGCTATAACTTTTGCGTCCGACCTCGGAATGAGATGATTCAAGTTGCATTGGAATCCTGTTGAAGAGATCTACAACGTTCATCTTTTGAGTTTTTCTTGATTCAAATTTTATCATCGTCGAAATTCCAGTTCTTCATACTCGTGCATCCATTTTCTTCACGAACCATGCCTTCAAAATCTTGTTGTTGCTTCAAACTCTTGTAAAACTTCCAACGATCATCAAATCTTTCAATCTTGAGCCAATACCTACATATAAGAACACAAACAACAGCAGTATCCTCGATCTAAACACGAAATATGCATCAAACGCCGTAAATCATGCTTGAAACACACTAAGATAATGCATATTTTACGTGTTTATCACAATGTCATACAACTAGATGGAATTAATACTTAAAAATCTACAATAAGAGACGTAGTACATCGAGCAAAATAATCCAAACAAGGAAACCCTCATGTATATACCATATGTCTCAAATTGTAGATAGTTAAATATTAACTCCGATCTATATACGAAGAGAAACACAACTGGCCTACATCTCACAAGAAATCATACATAGCCAAGAAACGAGATCACGTAACTAGCCATTCTATAACAAGTCACTAGTCACATCTCACACAGAGTCAACGCTCCTGTCATCGGATACTGACTGTTCACAAATCCCCTACGTACATCCAATCCCGCTACACTTGCGGCCAGAGGACTACACGTAAACCGTTTTCTACCTGGTCCGAACTCAAGCACAACTCGGGTGACGAAACGATTTCACTGACTAAAGTGATGTACACACTTCACTTTAGCCCTACAAACCAACCTCAGTGGCGACACCAACCACTGACGTGAGCATGGAAGATACATCAACAGCCTTATCCGATCACATGAACATTAACTTCCCCATCCCAACTCTTCTCATTTTTCTAAATTAACCATAATCCTCATTAAAACTCGGGTTCACCACCTAAACTCAGTCAACTCACTCACACATGTCACTAAGTCTGTTCATGACGCACGAGGCCATTAAGTCATGAACTACTAAGGGTTCTCAAACACAACTAGGAACAATCAATGTAACAAATCATGTGCAATAATATCATAGAATATCAGATAATCAAGATTAAGAATTATAAACCATAAACAGAGTCTACATAATTTAAAAATATTTCTTTTTCCAAAATAATTTCTTTTAAAATTATCATAATTTTCCTCAAATGATTTTGTTTTCAAATAAATTCTTTTTAATTAATATAATTATCCAGAAATGATTCCGCTACTGAAATAAATTCTTTTAATTTATATAATTATTCTAAAATAATCTTTTCTCAAAATAGTTTAACAATTTAAAACAACCCGTTTTTCAAAAATAAATTATTTTAAATCATCTATTTTAATAATTATTCAAAACCAACTCATTTTCCAAATAATCTTTTTTCTCATCATAATAATTCTAAAACATCTCAAAATAACCACTTTTACACAAAATAATTATTCCTTTAAATTACTTATCCTAATATCATTATTAATATCAACCATCAACAAACTCACGCAGTTATCAAAATCTTCATATTGTAGCATAATCAAATCACAGTCTAATCGAAGCATTAATTCATAATATATCTAAAAATTGGAAATACGAGTCAAAGAACATCGGGATCTTGCCTCGGGTTCGTCGAATGAATCGACGTTGATAGCGCGAATCGGATCTGGCACGGTGGAACGTAACGACGAGGGGAGCTGTCGACGGTTGAGGATCTCGTCAGAGCTCAGGTTGATCGGCGGTGGATCTCGCGCTAAGGAGGCGTCGCTGATCGGCGGGTTACGAAGCAGGGGGTTTGCGTCAGGCGCAACGGATCTGGATCGGCGTTGGCTGCAGCCTCTGGGGAGCCGGAGAGGGCGGAGCTCGAAGCACGGGTTGAGGGTATGCCAGAGCGGACATGGGGACGGAGTAGCGGGGAGAATGGGGGCTGCTGGTGGTCAGAGCTAAGGGGAGGGGAAGGCTGGCGCGATGATCAGGTTGGGCGGCGCAAGATCGTAGAGGCGGTGGGTGCGCTGGCATTGGGCGGCTAGTGGCTGGGGGCGTTCAAGACTCGAGCGAAGGAAGGAGAAGCAGATGGAGGAGGACTGTCGGTGGCTGCGTCAGAGGAAGAGGTGGAGGGCGAGTTGGAGGCTGGCCGGAGTAGAGGCCGGCAGCGGGTGAGTTGGACGGGCACGAGAAGGCTGGGTTTCGTCGGTGAGCTGGTCGAGAGAAGGGGGAGGCCGACGGGATCTGAGAGGTAGATGAGAGAGAGGAGAGAGAAAGAAATAGAGGCGGCGTGAGAAAAATGAAAAGAGAGAGAGAGAGAAGAGAATGAGGATGAGTTATATATATATCTATTTATATAATAAGAGTTTAGGGAATTAAACAAAAATTAATTAAAATAAATAATTACTGATGTTTAAAAATCAAAATAATTACGAAATAATTATCGACAAATAAAAACGTACATGTTGTGCTAATACAACAATTGATACAAAATAGTCAAAATATACACATATTATGTAATTAAACGAGAATAATTAATAATAAAAATATTTTTACTTACATTTAAAATCAAATAATTATGGGATAATTATATACATAGTAAAACTTAGTAGTTATACTAATACGACAGATAATATGTAACAGTAGAAATAATACAGTAAATTATCCAAATAATACATAATTAATAATACAACGTATTATACAAAAATATACATAATAATAATAATACCACGTATTATTCAAAATGATACATAATAGTATCGATAACACAATGGATAAATTCCATAAATTTTTACTGTACTAAATAAACTTACAACTATCAAAATCATTTAAATAAATATAAATCTTGGTTTTTAAACCATAGAAAATTCTAGAAAATTGAGAAAATACAAATACTCTTTTAAAAACAATAATTAAATATTTTTAAAATATCAAAAAATTATTTTAACTAGTTAAAAAATTCACGATCATTACATGATATATGACATCTATTCTTGAAATTTCCTCTTAATCGAAATATTATGTGTTTCTTAATCATCTTTTTGACGATAGCTCATTTAAATTTTAGTATTGATTAATTCTTAAATTTGTCTGATCCGATAATGATAAGTTTTCTGCTCACTGAGTGTAAACTCACCCTGTTGTTTTTCAATCTTTTTCGAATGAAAATTAAATAGCTTTATCAAACCTCGGAGCTTTGGAACCTGATAAGAATCTTTTATAGTGTTTGATGTTGAAGTTATAGTTATTCTAGTTATGCTACTATGCAGATGTAATAAGAGTATTTTGACTCATTAGAGTGAACTTGTGATAATGTAGTTTTGCTCTGAGACTTCTTTATTTGTCAATAAAACTTCTTTTGAAATGAAGTTTATTATAATATGGAAGTGCACCACAGGCTTAGCATGTGCTTTGTGCACGTGTTGCTATTGTCATGCATCTTAAAATCAGCTGCGCATTTTAGGGGCGTGACACTGGGAATGCTAGACGCAGGATATCTACCTCAAATCTTTGTTTAGGTTCCCAGTTTCGAACCAAGGATCTTGGTGACCTGAAATATCTTCTAGGGATTGAAATAACGCATTCTCTTGCTGGGATTCTGCTTTGCAATAGGAAGTATGCATTTGATTTTTTTTCGTAATAGTGGCTTACTTGGGTCACACCCAGCATCCTTTCCTAGGGAACAACAATCACTAGGCACATGATTTTGGATCAGCATTTCTGACATAGTATAGTATTGCCACCTCGTTC